GCAGAATGTTTTGTATGTGTGTTCTTCCATCATTACCCTGACTGTAGCTTCTCAAACTGTGAGGAGAAAGTATTCAGGGTATATGTGGGTTTAAAATATAGTACTTTTTAACTCAAAGTTGATAATGATCATTCACTTTGGATACTCCAAAATCTTAAATTTAAAACAATGCTAATAACTAAGACTCTTGGTTTTTCATTAAAAATTAAAAGTAATCAGTGAATGAAGTTATTGTTCATAGAAAAACACTTAAGGATTTAGAAGGGTTGTTATTATTATTATTATTATTATTATTATTATTATTATTACTTTGCCACAAACCTCTGCTGTATTATGTGTTTTTTGGCTGTTTTTCCAAATAGGTCATTCAGGGACAAATTTGTTTACCATATGAAACTCAAAAGTTATTTTTTTCCTTGTGTCTCAAAGGGTTGGATTTCATGTTTAATTTGAGTTTATCTCAAGTAGATATGTAGTGAGTTTATTGCTTTTCATTCCAAATAATTAAACACTAACTACATTAGTAAGTGTTGTTAAGATGCTTTAGGAAAAGTATTTTCAAACTGGTTGAAATTATTTTTTTCCTTTCATTGAAGGGTTTATTAACTAGGTCAGTGATTATTAAACTTTCTGTGTACAAGATTAGTTTTCTTTTTAAAAAATTTTTTTGTGTTTATTTTTGAGAGGGAGAGAGGGGGGGGAGAGAGAGAGAGCGAGAGCGCGAACGGGGGGGGGGGACAGAGAGAGAGAGAGGGAGGAGGACACAGAATTCGATGCAGGCTCCAGGCTCTGAGCTGTCAGCACAGAGCCCAACGTGGGGCTTGAACTCATGAACAATGAAATCATGACCTGTGCTGCAGTTGGACACTTAACTGACTGAGCCACCCAGGCACTCCTAGTTTTCTTTTTAAAAGCGGGTTTATTAAGGATAATTCATAGTAGTGTACAGTTCTGTGGGATTTGACAAATGCTTACAGTTGTGTAACATTACCATAATCAAGACATTGAACATTTCTATCACCCTACAAAAGTTCATCTTCCTTTGTAATGGACCTTTCTGATCACACCCAGCCCTGGTAGTCACTAACAAGGTTTTAGTCTCTGTAGTTTTGCTTTTTCCAGAATATTAGAGAAAAGGAATTGTATGGTATGTAGACTTTTGATTCTATAGCATAATGTATTTGAAATTCATCATTGTTGTGTTTATCAGTCATAGTGTCTTTTTTTTTTTTGCTGACGAGTGTCTGTTTTATTGCTGACTGTGTATGTAGCACACGTTATTCATCCACTCACCAGTTGAAGGACTTTGGGGTTCTTTCTGGTTTTTGGCAATTATAAGTAAAGGCACTGTAAATATTTGCAAATAGATTTTTTCGTATTTGTTTTCATTTCTCTTGGGTTAATACCTAGAAGTGAGGGTATTAGATCACCCTGAAAGTGTATGTTTAGGGTATCTGTGTGTCCCAGTAGGTTATGCATTTGCTTTTGGCTCAGGTCATGATCTTACAGTTCATAGGTTTGGGCCTTGCATTGGGCTGTGCTGACAGCTCAGAGCCTGGAGCCTGCTTTGAATACTGTGTCTCCCTCTCTGTCTGGGCATCCCCACTGACACTGTTTCTCTCTCAAAAACAAACGTTAAAAAAAAATTAAAGAAAAAAAAAGAAAGTGTATGTTTAACTTCTTAAGAAGCTACCAAAATGTTTTCCAAAGTGGCTGTGTGACTTTTGTATTCCTTTTAATTTTTTTAAATTTTTATTTAAATTTTAGTTAACATACAGTGCAATATTGGTTTCAGGAGTAGAATTCAGTGATTCATCACTTAAAAACAATGCCCAGTGCTCAACACAATAAGCACTCATCACCCATCTAGCTCATCTCCTACCCATCTCCCTCCATCAACCCTCAGTTGATTCTCTGTCATTGAGTCTTTTGTGGTTTGTTTCCCTCTCTCCTCTTTTTCCCCCCTTCCTATGTGTTCATCTGTTTTGTTTCTTAATTCCACATATGAGTGGGGCACCTGGATGGCTTAGTCAGTTAAGCGCTGACTCTTGATTTTTGCTCAGGTCATGATCTCATTGTCATGGGGTCATGAGATCGAGTCCTGCGTCGGACTCAACACTGAGCATGGAACCTGCTTAAGACTCTGTCTCTCCCTCTTCCTCTGCTCAGCCCCTGCTCCTGCTTTCTGTCTCAAAATAAATAAATAAATAAATAAATAAATAAATAAATAAATTCCACATATGAGAGAAATCATATGGTATTTGTCTTTCTCCAACTTATTTCGCTTAGTGTAATACATTCTATCTCCTCCATGTCAATGTAAGTGGCAAGATTTCATTATTTTTCTTTTTTTAAAAAAGGTTTATTTTGAGAGTGTGAGTGGGGGAGGGGCAGAGAGAGAAGGAGAGAGAGAATTCCAGTCTCTGTGCTAGTGCGGAGCCTGATGTGTGAGATTTCACCTGAGGTGAAATCAAGAGTTAGATGCTTAACTGACTGAGCCACCCAGGCCCAAGATTTCATTCTTTTTGTTTAATATCCCCTGTGTGTGTGTGCGTGTGTGTGTGTTACATACACACACACACCACATCTTTACCCATTCATCAGTAGATGGACATTTGGGCTCTTTCCATAGTGTGGCTATTGTTGATAATTCTCCTGTAAACATTGGGGTGCATGTAACCCTTTGAATCTGTATTTTTGTATCCTTTGTGTAAATACTTAGTAGTGCAATTGCTGGATGGTAGGGTAGTTATATTTTTAGTTTTTTGAGGAACTTCCATACGGTTCTCCAGAGTGGCTGCACCAGTTTGCATTCCCACCAACAGTGCAAGAGGGGATAGATACCCTTTTCTCTACATCTGTACCAACACCTGTTGTTTCTTGTATTGTGACTTTTGCATTCCTACTAGCAATATATGAGAGCTTACCACATCCTTGACATTAATATTGTCAGATTTTTTTGTTCACCAGTTTTAATAGGTATGTAATGGTATTTCATTATGGTTTTAACTTGCATTTTCCTAAGGACAAATGATGTTGAGGATCTTTTCATGTGCTTATTTTTCATTTTTATAATGTCTTTGATGCAGTATCTATTACTCATTTTTTATTGGGGTACTTGTTTTCTCATTAATGAGTTTTAAGATTTCTTTATGTATGCTGGATATGGGTCCTTATCAAATAACTGTTCTGCAAATATTTTTTCCTAGTTTGTGGCTTTTCTCATTTTGTAAACATTTTGAGGAGAAGTTTTTCATTTTAATGAAGTCCGTTTATCCATTTTTTTTTCTTTTATGGATCTTGCTTTGCCTACCTCAAGGATACAAAGATAATCTCTTTTGTATTCTTCTTAAAGTTTTATGGTTTTAGGTTTTACATTTAGGTCTGTGATCCATTTTGAGTTATTTTTTATATATTGTACCAGGTATGGTTTGAGATCTGTTTTTTGTATATGAATTCCAAGTGTTCAAAAAAGACTAACCTTTGTCTGTTGATTTGCCCTTGTACCTCTGTGCTAGATATTTTGAGTAAATATGTTTGTAAATCACTTAAATAATTTCAAAAAAAAAGTAATATAGTAGTTTTAGAATCACAGAGCTTTTGTATTTGGGGAGTTATCATTACTGAACCTACTAGTTTTAAAAATTTGGAATGTTCGTCATACAGCTATAAATTTCACAGGTCAGTGGATTCTTTGGTATAGTATGTAATCACTTAGTAAATTTTAAACACTTTCGGATATAATTGAAGGTGGGAATACTCCAACAGTTTCTAAGTGTCCCTTGTCTCAAGCTATGTCTTCTACAAACCAGGCATCAATGATAATTAAAAGATCCATACTTTCATATTTTAATTCACTTGAGTCTGTTCTAAATAAGTTATTCACTTTATTCAATTAAAGCTGCTCTGTTTACAAGCAAAGCAATTTCATCTTTCATAAACTTACATTTATAATTAATAGAATATGGCAATATGGTATATCTGGATATTATTACCATTTGCATTTTTCTCAGAAGTTCTTTTAAATTTTTTTTTCAACGTTTATTTATTTTTGGGACAGAGAGAGACAGAGCATGAACGGGGGAGGGGCAGAGAGAGAGGGAGACACAGAATCGGAAACAGGCTCCAGGCTCTGAGCCATCAGCCCAGAGCCCGACGCGGGGCCCGAACTCACGGACCGCAAGATCGTGACCTGGCTGAAGTCGGACGCCCAACCGACTGCGCCACCCAGGCGCCCCTCTCAGAAGTTCTTTTAAATTTTTTTTTTAGTTTTTTTTTTTTTAACGTTTATTTAGTTTTGAGACAGAAAGAGACAGAGCATGAATGGGGGAGGGGCAGAGAGAGAGGGAGGCACAGAATCGGAAGCAGGCTCCAGGCTCTGAGCCATCAGCCCAGAGCCCGACGTGGGGCTCGAACTCGCGGACCATGAGATCGTGACCTGAGCTGGAGTCGGACACTCAACCGACTGAGCCACCCAGGCGCCCCACAGAAGTTCTTAAAGAATTAATAAAAGAGTTCTTATTGTTAACAAGTTAGGGGAAAAAATAATGGATTTTACTCTGTTAACACTGGGGTGTTGGATTCCTATAGTCTCAGGCCACACCTCATCACAATCTAAAGCAATAATAGGGGTAAGGAAATTGGCTCTCTGTGCACTTCTCTTGGTTGTGAAGGTTAGCATCAGTAGAAATAGCCAATATTTTTGGCCTATTAACCCTAAAAATTTAATATCTAAATTTTTGCAGCCCTTAGTTCCTTCTCTTGTGTGCAGTTCCAGTGGGTTCTGCTACCACAAAGACTTCCTCTGGCCTCTCTGGTTCTCAAAAACTCTTGAGTTAGCCTTCCTTTTCATTTCTCGGTTCAAATATAAAGGTTATCAGTTTGGAACTTGTTGACATTCACATATGTGGCATTTTGCCTTTCAAATGGAACTTTAAGAATCACCTCAGTTCTAGTTTGATTTGAAATCTGACTAAAGCTTTGGTTTTGTCTTTTTTTAGGTTTGGTGTGGTGGACTTTCTTTGAATACTGGGATGCAGGTTCCAAGTGCTGTGAGAACGCTTCAGAAAAGTGAAAATGGAATGACGGGTTCAGCTAGCAGCCTAAACAATATTACTCAGTAATGCTTACTCAGAATATGTTTCACCCCCTTTGGGTGGCCTTTTCTGTGCAGTTACTAATCACAGAAATTTACAAGTGGTGGAAATCAGGTTTGCTACCTTTTGCTTTAAGGCCTGGGATGTGTTAGCATTAAGCATCTAGTACCAAGTACTCACGGGAACCTACTGTGCAGTAGCATCAAGCAAGCAGATTCTGAGCAAGAAACTGATGTTTCGAAGAGCAAATGGGAAGAAAGGCAGTGTTTAAATAGTTACATAGAAACTCATTTTTGTGTTTCTTGGATTACTTTGGCTCTCCTAAAATGTTTAGTTAGTATGTAGTCCTAGGACCTGAGAGGAAAGCATTTAAATCTTGTCTTCTTTCCCCTGTACTTTCTCTTTATCTCGTCACTACCTATTATTAGGTTCTTACACTGAAGCTTTAAAAAAATATATAGTCTTTTAAGTTTGTCTAAAAATTGAAATCATTGGTTGGGGATGCTAGAAATGTTTTCTTAATTGTTGTCCTTTCGTAAAGAAGTTGAGTTTTGCTAAATTATCCTCTTTTGTTTTACTGACTAGATTGTTTATCATTTTCTCTTTTCCAAATATTGTGACATTTCTCTTATTTGAGTTAAAACTCAAAATAGAGTGGATAGGAAGAGTTTAGCTTAAAATCACCCATACATTAGTTGTCGTCGTTGTTGTTTTTAACCTGCTGCACTAACAGTGGCAAAGGGATATTCTTTATATGTTGCCTTGTTTAATTAGACTTCTTTTCATTCCATCATTTTGGATGATGGATAAGATTTTTTAAAGCTTTCTATTTTCTGATTTTGTTGTCACATTTAGTACTACCTTTAATAGTTGTCTTGGTAAAATTCTCACTTGAATTTGGTAGTAATTGATAATTATACTGATTTTTAATATTTCTAGTAGGAATGAAATTTTATTAAAGTTTAAAAAAAGGTAGAAAAACCTACATCATTTAAGTTTTATCTAAGAAGATAGGTTATAAAGGGAGGTGCCTAAAACTACTGAGGTCATTTATGTCTGCTTTTTAATAAGGTATGGAATGGTTTAAACAAGTGTTTTGAAAAATGTCTACATATCTCTGACTTATTTACCATATAAGTTTTTCAAACGTAACTATTCAGAGGTTATTTTTCACATTTGCCTTCCAAAGGGGTATAATTCTTCCAAAAATCATCATAGAATAATCCTTCCCAACCTTAGGGAAAATATGTTAAACCATGAATAAAACCCATGGTTATTGAGCAGAACATACCTATTTTTTAAAAGTTGGTTAAAATTTTTAATACAAGTTCTTTGAGCCAAACTGAAAGTTGCGATTTCAGTATTTAAGAAGTCCTTGAACGTTTTTGGTGGTCTCTGGAATTTACTTTCTCATGTTGACCTTTTTTCATTCTTATTTTAAGGGTATTATGCTCTGACAACCTTCTCCCAAGAAGGGACTATTGCTGCTTACATCTGAGCTGCCTTTTACAGAAAAACCTGTGAAATAGGAATAGCTCATTCTCTCCTAAAGTTTACTGTTTACTGATATAGGGTGTTTTGTTTTTTGGTAAAACAGACCTAAATGAGGAATTTTGTTTGAATTAGGTATTATTTTTCCAGAGGGCATTTATATCTGCACCATTGTCTCATGACATATTGGTAGTTTTTAAAGACTATAAGGCAGTTGAGAGAATGAAGTATGTCAATAGATATCCTTTTGATTCTCCAAACAACTATAATATTGGGTTTTGTTCTTCCTAAAGATTTTGAAAAAAAATTTTTGGATATTCTGTTCCCTACAGTGGTGTTATTCCAGGACCTAAGAAACAGGAAGTTACAATTCTCTTTCATAGAGTCAAATCTGAAAGCAGTAATTTAGTGGTGGAGCTGCTTTCTGTGAACAATTACACATGTATAGTTTAGCAAAATTGACATAGAAAAAGCCAGAAGTTCTTGTATAAAATTTTTTACTATTACGTCTTATGTAATTGTGTCTTCTCTTTAATTCAGTGCCTTCTTCCTCTAAGTGTGCTCTTACTTCATGCCCCCTGCAGCGTCAACTGATAATTTAAGCCAGAGACCATTATGTTATACTGGTGAGGGCCTTCTATTGCAGGTGTATGGAGCAGAGGATTAATCGGGCTGGAGGAGTGCATATGCTTCTATTCTGTGCTCATGCCATCATTTGAAACCCTTCATTTAAATTTTCTAATGTTCATTTGGAAAATTCATTTGAAGTAATAACAAGTATTACTTCAAAATAAAAATCTGAGGTTTTCCTGTTACTATGTATGCTTCTTAAATGTCTCTATAAAAAACAAAAGTTTTAAGTTTATATGTGTTAAGTTAAACTGGAAAAGTCTGCCACCCTCCTTTTCAAACTAGAAAATAATCAACTGTAGTGCCTATTTAAATAGTATCAAATTAAGGTAACTCTTAACTTGACCATAATATATAACATTCTCATTGTCATTTGAATTAAAAACTATTGAGCCTTTTTGCTCAAATTTAATGCATTGTGGGAAGATGGTATACCCTTTCAGACTTTATTAGTTTGTTTACTCTTTGTTTTGACAGGTCAAACATGATTGCTTTCTGTAAAAGAAATGCATGAGAGGTTGACGGTAATAGATGTATTACAGGTATAAAAATTGTTTTATAAAAATGTGCATTTGATATTGCATTTCTCTTTTAGCAGTTGAATCCCAAACCAGTTTTAGTAAACTGGGTTAAAGAAATGAAGGAATTGCCTTAAGCACTTTAGAAAAAAAATTTTTTTACAATTCATTTTGACTCTTTGGGCTTACTCTGTCACCTATGTGTTTAACTTTTGGTAAATATGTATATATGAAGCATTTAATAACTGAGTGCACATAGAAATTTAATATACAGTGATTCTTTGAATGTCCCAGGTATAGGTAAACAAATTGAAAGTATTAGAGGCGTGCCTGTCTGTACATGGGTTTTATTGATGGCATCTGTACCGTGTTGACAAACCGTTAACTGCCACTGTACAGCTAGACTTGGCCTACTTTGTTCTGCAAACAGTAACTTTTTCCTGTGTTACCATTTAAAGAAACATATTGGCTTAGTTTTATTTACTCACTTATTAAATTAAAGTATGAACAGTGTCATGTATAATTGGAATTTTTGGTGACCGATCCTTGGTGGTACAAATAATAAAAGTAAATAATTTGTAATGCAATATTATAATTAGGCTCACATACTCCATTTCATGACTTACCCAGAATGATTATTTTTTCTCAATACTTGTAAAATTATAGTTATTTTTTTTCTTTTGAAAACATGAAAAAATTGACAGGATATATATATATATATATATATATATATATATATATATATATATATTATGATTTCAAAGAGTATTAATTCTGGAAGAGGACACTGTTGACTTCTTACTATAAAATATTATGATTCCCGGCTAAAAATACTAAGGACTATACTTTCAAATCATTGTAATTCTTTTAAAAACCCCATATTTGTTAGATCGGTGTCCATTCATTGGCTAATTCATACAACAGATAAATTTAAGTGTCTGTGATACGGCAGCTGTACTTCGTATCTGGATTTCCACAATTAGTGAAGTTTGATTTACTGTACATATAGTTTTGCTACTTTTGAGTAATGTGACAAAGTTTGCATCTTAAAAACAATGTTTCTGCTAGTAAGTCAAATTTTTAAAAATAAATTATTAGAGTTTATAAAAAATTCAAATTAACTGCATTAATATGGTTTAGTTTTACATAGTCACATAAAATGGATCTAGAACAGTTTCTTCTTTGATTTTATTTTAAACTGGATATATTCTTTTAGGGAAGTGTATGGTCGGCATAAATTTACTGAACACCCAAGTAACCATAAAGTTATTTGCTATTTTTAAACAAAACATACATTTCATAATGTCAGTACTAGAACATTATAATAGATCATGAATATTTCCTTAATCATTACAGAACGATTACCTCATGTTCAGTATGGTTTTCAAAACCTTTTATGTGTATCTTACAGTATTCACATTATACAAATATTTGTGACCTGACATGCTTTGTTACCTGGAATATTTGATAAGCTTTTGGAGTAATTTGGAGTTTAAATGGATTGCGTTTCCTATATGTTGTTTTTATTGAAAAGGTATTGTTGGACTTGCCATATAAAGGTTAGTACTGGCTTATAAATAACAGATTGCCATAGTACTTTTCTCCTCAGACTATCCAATTATTAAATTAAAACAGTATTTGTTATTTCTGGGTCAATATAAGGTACTCACTTTTGATTCATAATCATTTGAGCTTTGTTAGTTTAAACTGATACATATTCTTAATGATACCCATTCACTCTAAGTTGGTCCTCGGGAATGGGCATTTAGAGGATTTCACAGTATGTAGGGCAGAAGGTGGGTGAATGTGTTTGCTTTGGCTTGGAGCTTTGTAAGTTTGGACCAGTTTTAAAATAAGTCACATTTTAAGTAATTGGTAAAAGGCATTTCTGTTAGTATTGGAAATTTTTTGAGAGCCTAAGGGCTATAAGAATGCATATATATATATATATATATTTTAACATTTTCAATATCTCTAAGGTACCAAAGCACGGAGTCTGATTTACCATTTAAGGGAGACTCTTTAAAATAAAATTTATAACTAATTCATACTATAAGATATATAACAATTAAAGTTTTGGAACAACTTACATTAAAAACCACTAGTCTTTAAGATTTCTGGATATAAAAAGTATTTTGGTTTCACTTCTTTTAAAGTAATTAAATTCAAAATTAATCGCTTTCTACCATATACTGAGTAGATCTATGACCTCAGCATAGTAAATCATTTCTCATCTTTGGGCCTCCACTGCCTTACATAAAATAATTATAACTTGTTCAGCTTACCTCCCAGGGCTGTTGCGAGAAATAAAATGAAATGGAGTATGTGAAGTTGCTTCAACAACAGTAAAATGCTATGTAAATGTAAGGCATTATTTTCAGTGAATAATGGATTTAAGTGTTGGGTACTTCTAGATGTTCTTTCTTTTAATAAAGCATGTGCTTAAAGTGGTATCACTAGGACTTCAAAGTGATTATTTAAAAAAAAAAAAAAAGGAAAGAAAACACCACCTGATTATAATGCCCTTTAACATTCTTTTGTTTGTGCAATGCTTGTGGCCTTTTTGTATTTTCTCATCAAACTTGTTACTCTCTATCTAGACTTGGTACAACTGTAAACGTCTCTCACAGCATTCATGTGTCAGTGTAGAATAGCATAAATAAACATTTTAAGCTATGTTTCCATTCAGGCATTTGCACTTTCAATTTATGACTGCTTAGTACCACATGCAGAGTGAACTTAGCCCAAATATTATCCAAACAACCAAATGATTCAGCAGTTTGTTGACATGGGATAAATGATATCAGGTGTATGTGCCCACTTACCATTTGACAACTTTTTTTGCATTAAAAGATATGAAACATTTCAAAACTTTGCTAACATGAATATCATTTAGTATCTCTCCTAACATTTGTTTTGCTTTAAATTGGATTTGTTAAATGGCTTACAGGTTATCTTAATCTGTAGATTATTTGGTATGTCTATCATTTGGACATGGTTTTGCTATGCAGTTCTGATAATAAAAATTCTAATTCCTCAGGTTTAACCTTTAAGTTACGGATGAAGAACATTAATGGACACTTTTAATATACTCAGTTCTGCAAACTAGTCTTTTAATAAGCATATTGCCTCATTATCCTTGGAAACAAGACAAAGCCTTTTAAACTTTAAACTTTTTAACTTCAAAATAAAGTATTCAAAGTGAAGTAACTTGAATGTTGAAATGATTGTATGCTCTGTGTAGAATGACCAAGCCTAAGTTCTTACAAAAGCACCTGGAATATCTCCTCTAAAAATTAAACTTTTTCTGCTTTCCTTTGCTTCAGTGCTTGCATTTTTATCAATTTTCATTAAATATCTACAGTGTACTGTTGGGGATGAGAAGATTAAAAAAAAAGTCATAGTCCCTCTGCCCAAAAAGTTTATATTTTAGAGCAGTGCTGTTCAACAGAATTTTCTGCAGTGATGGGAAGTTCTATATTTGTGCTGTCCAACACAGTGGCCACTAGATCCAGGCAGCTGTTGAGCAATGTAAATATGGTGAGTTAAACGAAGAAACTAAAATTTTTATTGTGACTAATTTAAATGTAAAGAGCCACATCTTACTAGTAGCTATTTTACACAGTGCAGCTATAAATGGAAGGTGAAACATGCTATAACTATAAATCAAGCACTTAGTTTTTCTGTCTTTGGAGCTTGTCACATTGTGGGTTACATTTTGGCAGATTGTAGCCAAAAAGAGACCAGAATCTAAATCTTTTAAAAGTATTTCCTAACTTGAGATAAGTTTAGGAGAAAAAAGAAAACCAATCAATGACTAGATGAGACTGGAGCTCCTATAACTAAGCGTTTTCACCAAAAGAATGAAGGGACACTGGATAGTCTTGAGTCCTAGGAAGAGGAGTGTGATGTAGATAGTAAGAAAACAGTACCTCATATAGAAGATGGAGTGGAGAACAGTTCAGCAATATCAAGAATTTAAATACACATACCTTTGAAAAGTTAATTCCATTTCTAGGTATTTCTCTTACATACCCACAAATAAGCCAGTACTCTTTGCAGCATTACAAGAGCAAAATACAAGCAACCCGACTGTTAATTGAAGAAAAGGATGGGCTACCACAATTCTGAAGTCTCCCTTTTTAACTTGCTGCACTGGCAAGCTACCATTGTTACATACTTGTCTACACATATTCTGCATGCCCTTTCCCCAGTAAATGCTATGAATATGTAGACCATTGTGGGAGTTGGTTTCCTCAATTAGAGTCCTTTCCATGGAATATCAGTCCTTCTGTGCCTGTCCGAATCTCTGTGGGATGAGAACTTGGGAAATTGCACTCTACTTTTCTGTCCCAAGTATTTTCCTTACTAAATCCTATTTTACATTTACACTGCATGGTACTAGTAGTATGTTTATGCCCCTTTTGCACAAGGTCACCAGAATGATTAGATTATGGTGCTAAAGTAACCCTATATACCTGTTACAGAATATGCTATCAATGGAAGGGTATTCATGATATTATGAAATAGAAAAAGCAAGTCCAGCAGTGTATATAGTATGACACCATGAGGGCGTGTGTGCACTTAACCTTGGGAAAGAGGGGTCCCTGCACTGATCCTCACACTTGCTGTGCCTCTTCATGGAATGGAAAATTGAAGGAACCAAGGAACTGCACGCATTTGGATGGGTGCATGTTCCCTACCCATTGTGTACCAGATAGCCAGAGCCCTAGAATTCCCTGCCTGACCAGCCCAAAGCTTGATTCCAGAACAGATGCAGGCCTCTTCCCCAAATCATCCTGAAGACAGACTGTGCTACAGGTGTGTGTGTGTGTGTGTGTGTGTGTGTGTGTGTGTGTGTACCTTTATATAAAGTATATGCCTTTATACTTAAGGAGTGGCAGTTTTACGAGTAGTGTGGATGGACCTTGGATGTGCAAACAGGTGTGTACATGATGCCTATCAGGACTCTTGTGGCAAGCTGAAGCTAGAAGTAAAAGAAGAAAGACCCAGGACCTTGTGGGAAGAACAGGCAGACCTAGTTCTCATGCTGACTCTACAGTATATGTCTGAGAATTCCAAATTTGATCCTAGATTACTGTTCCTTGAGAAGGAATATTTGCCAGGGTGGAAGGATATAATATGGTTAATTCTTTACTCAGACATTTAAAATATGTCAAACTCCATTTGTACTCTTGCCCCAGGACCCACAATATTAGGATGGGCCACGATGTGTGTGTGTAATCCCCCCATCTGAGTGATTTTTAAAAGATGGATCTTTGCCTATAATAGAGGCTGTTTTACCCATTCTCGTAACCTTTGTCCAACTGGATTGGCTGACCAAGTTAAAAGCATACTGACAGCTGAAGGCTTACAGCTGGGCTCCACTCTAGTACTGCTGGGAGAAGTACTGCTCCCACCAGTTTACCTGCAGTTAGCTATTTGTTCCCAAACCTGTTTGCACTGCTGGCAGCCATTGTAGTTATATAAATATGACATAAACCAAAATGAAATACGAGTATGAAACATTGTAAAGAATGTAGAGGGAAACTTATAAAGAGGTTTAAAAAAGAAGACATTGTGTCCAAGAAAATTGTAAATGATAGGGGAGTATTGCAAAAACAAAACAAACAACAACAACAAAAAAACAACCTAGGACTGTTAAAGTTAAGATTCCTTTACTTGTTTAAGTTCCTGTTCTACTTTAAAATAATAAAGTAGAAATAGTAGGTGATACAGTATGTCTGTGGCTTTTATAGGAGAAACAGTGAGAAACTACAATTGGTTGATCCATATTTTCAACATTTTTTTTTTTTTTTTTTTTTTGGGGGAAGGCAGAACAAAGAACAGAAAGAGGGGGGGGGCAGAGAGAGAGGGAGACACAGAATCGGAAACAGGCTCCAGGCTCCGAGCCATCAGCCCAGAGGCTGACGCGGGGCTCGAACTCACGGACTGCGAGATCGTGACCTGGCTGAAGTCGGACGCTTAACCGACTGCGCCACCCAGGCGCCCCAGTTGATCCATATTTTAAAAGATCTTAGCTGGGGCGCCTGGGTGGCTCAGTCGGTTAAGCGGCTGACTTCGGCTCAGGTCATGATCTCGTGGCCCGTGAGTTCGAGCCCCTCGTCGGGCTCTGTGCTGCGAGCTCAGAGCCTGGAGCCTGTTTCCGATTCTGTGTCTCCCTCTCTCTCTGCCCCTCCTCTGTTCATGCTCTCTCTCTCTCTCTCTGTCTCAAAAATAAATAAACGTTAAAAAAAACTTAAAAGATCTTAGCTGAAATCAAAAGATTGGCCAGTGAAATTACTTTGCTTTAACTGCCTTCCCCACCACCCCCCAGGTTTACATGAAACAAGATTAGTTTTGCATTTGAAAAGTATTTATTTCTCAGAACCTGATGAAAAAATTTCCCTTTTTTTTGTTAATTTTTATTATGACTTTTAAAATATACAGAGAAGTAGAGTCTATTAAAAATGAACACTTTTAGGGGTGCCTGAGTGGCTCAGTTGCTTAAGCGTCTGACTTGGCTCAGGTCATGATCTCAAGGCTTGAGTTCCAGTCCTGCGTCAGGCTCTGCGCAGACAGCTCAGAGCCTGGAGCCTCCTTCGTATTCTGTGTCTCCCTCTCTCTCTGCCCCTTCCCCCCCCCAAAAATAAACAAACATTTAAAAAATAATGAACACCTTTATGCTCATCACAGATTTACCAGTTATTAATATTTTGCCATGTTTGTATCATCTTTTTTAAAGTTTTAAAACATTTCACCTTATAAGCATTGCAATATGCATCAATGATGACTTACTCTTTTAAACACAGCCACATTCCACTAACATTCTTAGCAAAATTAACAGCACTTCCTTAATATCATCTAATGGCTCAGTCCGTATTAAAATTTCAGTTGCTTCAAAAATGTCTTTTTATGGTTGCTTTCTTCATATCAGGATGCAGACAAGGTCTACACACTGCATTTGCTTATAGGTCTCTTAAGTCTCTGATGTTGTAGTAGTTCCTTCCCTCCCCCCTCTTTAAATACCATATACCATTAATGAAGAGACTGGGGTATTTATCTTGTAGAACACGGCACATTCTGAATTTAGCTGATTGCTTCTCTACACACTTTGTTAAATCCAGAGTTTTATTAAATGCATGTTCGGTTTTTAGGCAAGAATCCCTCACAGGTGGTGCTGTGTGTTGTCTGTTCCATCCTGTCATGAAATACACGATTTCTGTTTGTCCCAGACTCAATCATAAGATTGATCACTGGGGTGGGTTCAGGTGGTACCAGCCTAAACCACCTATTAAGTTCCCCATCAAAAAAATAATTCTAAAACGTCCCCAGCAACATTTCACCTTAGTTTTAACATCTACTGATGAATGTTAGTTGTATTATTTCATTAGGAATAGCAAAATGGTGATTGTTCTATCATTCATTTATTAGCTAGAATTCTCATTAGGATTTTGGTTACACTGACATACAGTTCATGCAAGAAAGGATAAATACTTTTTTTAAATGTTTATTTGTTCTTGAGAGAGAGACTGAGCACGAGTGGGGGCGGGGACAGAGAGAGAGAGAGAAAGAAAGACAGAATCTGAAGCAGGCTCCAGGCTCCAGCCTGTCAGCAAAGAGGGGACGTGCGTCTCGAACTCACGAACCATGAGATCACGACGTGGGCCGACGCTTAACAGGCTCAGCCACCCAGGCGCCCCAAAAGGATAAATACTTGATGTTTTTCCCTTTATCAAGTTTTGCAATAGTGATTGGCAACCAATCACCCTGGAAACCTTCAATTACGACTAATGCGTTTCATTTTTAAAGAATTACAAAGTGAAGAATTTTTACATATTTGCCGTGTTTCAATCGATAGCTCAATTCATTAGCTCAATCGATAGTTATTTTGATGCTCAAAATTTCCCATATTAGGTCCATCAAGTTAGCACTTGTGTCCAGTAATCCCTTTAATCTTCGATAACTTCCTTCCTTTGGGTGTTATCTACTTTTTCGATTAATCTACCAGCCACTAGTTCTAAGTCTATAGAACTAGTTTTAAGTAATAAGAGGACTTTTACAGAATAAGCTTGTATATACACAGAAAAGTTCTAGAAGGAAAAACCAGAAACTTATAACTGGAAATGAGAAATTAAAACTTTTCAGGGCATTTGGGTGGCTCAGTGGGTTAAGCCTGGGACTCCTGACTTTGGCCATGATCTCACAGTTGGTGAGATTGAGCCCTGCACGTTGACGGCGCAGAGCCTGCTTAGGCTTCTCTCTCTTTCTGCCCCTTACCTGCTTGCTCACACACGCTCTGTCTTTCAAAATAAATAAACATTAAAAAAAAAAAAAAACCTTTACATGCTGTTTCAAACAACAAAGTTTAGAAAACTCAAATATACAAAAGGAGTATTTTCAGTTTTTAGTATGGACTGATTAATTTTGTATAAAGAACCTAAAATTACAGTAATTTATTTAGTGCTGTATAGTTTTTAAAATTCATGTCAAAATTGACATTTCTGGCCCTTAACAATTCATTGTATTACACTGTGAAGTTAAGAACTAGGCCGGAACTGTATGCGTGTATATTTCCAGACCTAAACCCGAGTGTAATAGTCCTATGGAGATGGGATGCCGTGCACCTCAACCTCACGAGCAATATTAATCACAGCTGCTATTTCCCACTACATCCCCATCTCATCTAATGGTACCCAAACCAGAATTCAGGGAGTTATTCTGAATCCCTCTGTTTAGCCCACACGCAGTTTAAAAAAAAAAAAAAAATTGTTGTTTATCTGAAATTCACATCTAACTGGCATTCTATATTTTATCTGCCAAACTCACACGCTTCAAGAAGCACAGCTCAGCTGGTGCCTCCAATTCTTGCTCCACTTCCTAAATTTTATGTCGCCTCGGTGCGCTACTGTAGTTAGGAAGGCAAGCGCCGAAAGGGCTTTGGCTAAGTGGCCTGATATCAAAAGGTAAGAATCGTCAGGGATCAGTAAACTTCGGGCGGTGAAGCCGCAGGCGCCGCGGATACGCTGAGGTCCAGTACAGCACGGCAGGAGCGTCTCCCACAGCAACCAGAGAGCCTCGGCTTTGCACTTGACGGCACCTTTTGCAGCGGTTGCTGTGAATGCCGTAAAGCGGAGTTGCCGCTGCTGTTGGGCAAGGTAAGGTACCGGAGACGCCGCTTGGTCGCGGTGGGGATGGGTGTGCGCCTTCAGGCTGGTATCGCCGGTGGCTCGGGTGCCGCCACCGGGCATTCCTCAGCATTCTGGGCACCTGTGTCCCCAGCCCCCCAGTGGTCGGGGCCGGCCACGGGCTGAGCGTGCTCCGTGTGGAGGGCGGGGGACGGGGGATGATACCCAGTTCACAGCCAGGGCGGTCCTTCCCACTTTCCTAGGCTTGTCAGCAAGTAGAAATCCGCATCTGGGGACAGGTTCAGTTTTGGAGGCCGATCGAAACCTTCGTAGACTCCGGTCGGGGTAGTGACGTTTCAGCAGGGTGGTGAGAGCCATCTCAGGATTTGGGAGACGATAGGCATTGGGGGTGAGGGGTAGGGCGGAGCACTGCAGGTTGTGGGACCGATGTGTGCAAGGGTGCAGAAGCATGAAGGAAACTGCCAGGTTTTGGCAGTACCGCATGCTTACTGGGGTAGTGGCCGGAGCAGTGGGTACCGGAAAGGAAAGGCCAGGAATGTGGCAGCAGCTAACGTTGGGTCTCAGAGGGGAAGTACTTTGATGCTCTGTGAGTGTGGTGTTCTCCCATGGGCAGTGGAGAACTACAACAGCCTTACAGAGAGGGATGATTTAATTAACCAACTCTCTTTTGATGCCGTCCCCGTGGGTTCAACTTTTAGTTCATTTGGAGAAATATTTACCGAAGCGCCCCGGTTTTGTGCTTCATGAGTGAGCGCAGCTAGCCATGCCCAGTAAACTTTCATTTGGCTTTGATGTCTGCCTTTTGTTTGCACAGTTGGGGGATGTCGGGAAAGACCGGATATATATAGAAGGGGCTGTTACAAGCTTTGAATTGGAATGAGGAAAACTGAGTTTAGATTTCATCATCATCACCAGTTTCTCAAATAACATGAGGCAAGTCACTTCTCTCAGGGCCTTGGTTTTCTCAAGCATAAAGAGAGGACCTACATGATGTCAGGTTCTATTTTTGAAGATAGGTTTCCATAGAATAAACGTCAGCCTATGGACAGATACCAAAATGAGCGATGGAGAAGCACATTAGGAATTGAGAAAGAGGAAAGCCCAATAGAAAAGGCTGGTATACTCTGAGGATAGGTACGGTTTGACCCTACCAGGAACCACCTCTGTTAAGCACCATGGATAAAGATAGAAAAGGCAGGAAGAGGCATTCCTATTTTAGAGTCTCTTAGGTTTCCAGGGCATAGAGGACTTGGGAAGGATGGCACTGGGTACTGAAGGAACCCCAAGTGGAAGGAAAGTGCAGTGTGCTCTGAAAAGGAAGAAAAAGGAATGAGAGCAATGTCAGCAATATATAGGACTTGGTTTCTTGGATTTAGGCGATCGATAATTTAGAACCTGGGTTTCTAAAAAGTGTATTTAAATGCGATTGACAAGACTGAAGAGTTCTGTCAGAATTCCAGCATGCAATAATGTATTGGAAGTAAGGTGGTTCAGATTGTAGCTCTGGTGTTGCCAGTAATTAGCCTCTTGGGCTGTCATTTAATTCTTGAACCTGTCCTCTGTAAAATATTGTTGGATGAGGTGGTCTCTTTCCTCTAAAACCTACAAAACATGAGTCTAAGCATGAAGAGCTACCTTCTTCTGAAATGGGGGTGGGAGATAGTTGATGGCAAATAAAATTGTTAATTTTGAACATAACTAAATTTGAGGTGCAGGAAATAGACTTTAAAATGTAGGCAGATGGAGTTCATAGATTGGAACTTAAATAGTAAGTTTTCTCTCAGAGGTGGTAGTTAAAATCTTAAAATAAATTTGCTTTGAGGAATGTAATAGAGTAGAGGATGTGCCCATGAATAGGAGGCTAGAAAAATGATTGAAGGAGACGTGTGGCTCTCAGAGCAATGAGCAAGGAGTTCTTTTATAAAAGATTACATGTAGTAATGGTAGATCATTGGGGCCGACATTATTGAAGTAATTTAACAGCATTTGCAGCAAATATTAAGCACCCATTTCTGGGGACTCTGGCAGAAAACAAGTAACTCAAATAAATATAATCTCCACTGTCTTTCTAATGGCCCACTCAGAAGTAATATCACTAACGTATTTATTCAACAAATAGCGTTTCAGCTACTGTTGGGTGCTAAGGATATACTAATGAACAAGGCAGATTTTGTTCCTCTTATTCCCACATGTAAAGGCCTTAGCTTTGTAGGTCACTGGTTTTCAAATTTTAATGGACATATGAGTCACCTGAGGATCTTGTTAAAATGTAGATTCTAAGTCTGTGGTAGGGCCTCTCTTTCTGTATTTTTGACCAACTCCAACATGATGTTGATGTTGTGGGTCAGAGGACCAAGCTTTTAAGTAGCAATGATCTAGATCCTGTCTAGCAAATATGGCAATTATTAAACCACTACTACTCCTGCTCCTCATCTGTTTTTGTTAGTTCATTGCTTTATGAAAATAACGTATGATCATTATAACAACATTGGGACAGTATAGAAAAGCATAAGGAACAATGTAAAAATCACCCAATTCCCACCACCCCATTATTGGTTTTCGGCGAATGTCCATTCAGATTAATATGTGTGCATATTGTTTACACTTTATATGTTATCCCAAGTACTTGATACATTCTGAGCCCTGTGTTTGATTCTATTAGCTCTATAGTTTTACTAAGCTCAGTACCCAAATGTCCTCAACCAAGCAATTAAGTACGTGCATTTCTGAGGGGAAGACTTTGCTCAGTTAAAAATAACTGGGTTTAACACCATTCTGTCACTCAAAAAATGGGTAGATATTAATATAATTGAAGCTTATTGTGTGTGAGCTGTAGTAAATGAGTACTTGTTAATTGACTCATAGAATGAAAGACTTTAATTTTTTTTAAACTTACTCTTTTTTTTTTTGTATTTGAAAATCAATTGATACTCCCATAGGATAAATAGAAAAACAAAATACCTACACTCCACCCAACCCAAAAACAACCACTGTTCTTAACTCTGATGTGTACGCTAACTAAGGGAGGTCTTAAATGAACCCATAGAATAGCTTATGTAAGTGTTTGGGTCAAAAGAAATCCTTGGTTCTTCCACGTTTCCACTGCCTTTGAAGTAACCATAATCTTTTGTCTATACTCTGTAGTCTTGTAACAGAGAACTGCTAGCAGCTTGCCCTGTGTCTAGTACCTAGGGCTCAGCAATTTTTGTGAAGTTAGTGGAAGAATGAATGAATGAGGTAGCAAACCAAACGGACCTGTGTGACATAAACTCTGGCTGTTACTCTTCATGTGCCGCAGCTTGCATTCGTCACTCATCTCAAATGCCTTTGTACTCTTCCAGCCACACACAACTCTTCCGGGGCAACAGAGGTCCATCATATGTATAAAGTTGCTTTTTAACTCTAAATTTGTGCTTAAATTCTACTGTGGAAAAATTTGGAATGTGGAATACTGGGGGATACAGAAACATGAATGATAGCCTCCTGTCTCTGGGAACTATAATTTAAGACTGACTGCAGAAATAGTACAAATATACAGTGCAGTGGGAACATAAGGGAGGGGGACTTTAATTGTCTGAGAGCAGAGGGAATTATTAATAGACCTTTAAGATGACTTATTAATGCTTGCTAGCATTACTGTGTAGTCTGTGATGTTCTTAGATGCTATTCAGTGCTTTACATGTATTAATTTGTTGAATCCTCAGAACAACCTTGTGAGTTAAGTACAATTTATAGATCCTTTTTAAAGATGGGGACATAGAGACATAAAGTAACTTGCCCAAAGCCATACGGGCTGCAAGTGGCAGAGCTGGATTTGAAGAGCCTATACTCTTAACTACTCAGTAGGCAGTGAGAGGGACCGGGAGGTAGGGGGAGAAAGCATTATAGATAGAAGGAGTAGCATAGGTGAAGGCACGTAGATGAGATGGTACTGTACCAGTGGATTCATATAAAAGAATAGTACGAAATGAGCCATAGAAGGTCTTAAAGCAAAGGAAGTGACACCAAGAGGTATGTTAGAAGTAATTTGACGTTTACCCCTAAGATGGATATTTTGAGGAAAGCCTGGTAGTAGGACATTCATTCATGTAGGCAGAGGTAATAAGGCCATTAAATTAGGCTAACTATACTGCAGATGGAAAATGGAAAAGAAATGATAGCTTTTAGAAGCACTGAGAAGGATATACAGTTTGTTGACTCATTAGATAGAACCACAGAAACTGTTTTGAACATAAATCATTGAGAAATAGGGATACTATTAACAAGAATAGATGGTCAAGTCATGGAAGAGATCTGGTGTGAAGGTGGACAGTTACTTGTTTTAGGTGCTAGTGGAATGTTCAAGAAGACCTGGCAGCAGTCAGCTGGAATATTTATAAGTAATCCAGCATATTATGGGAAGTATAACTAATAAAATGATTAAGAGCAGGGTTGCCTGGGTGGCTCAGTCAGCTGAGCATCTGACTCTTGATTTTGGCTGTCATGATCCCAGGGTCATGGGGTTGAGTCCCATGTCGGACTCTATGCTGAGCAGGGAGCCTGCTTAAGATTCTCTCTCTTTTTACCTCTGCCCTTCTCCCTTGCTCACTCACTCACTCTCTCACTCTCTAAAAAAATGATTGGTGCACCTGGGTGGCTCAGTTGGTTGAGCAGCTGACTTCAGCTCAGGTCATGATTTCACGGTTCATGAGTTCGAGCCCCACGTCAGGCTTGCTGCTGTCAGCGCCGAGCCCACTTCGGATCCTTTGTCCCCTTCTTTCTCTGCCCCTCCCTCTCATTCTCTGTCTCATAAAAATGATTAAGAGCAAGAGAATGTAAATGGAACTAACATCTGGATTTTATATCCAGCAGAGAATCATAGGCATCTGAGACAACACCACTTCCTTCACCCTTTTCCTTTGCCCTTGTAATATCAGGCCCCTCCTATCTTTACTTTCTTTCTTGGCTAGCCTTTCTTATCTAGGTTACCAGACACTCTTTCCCAAAACCTCATCACTCCATAGTCATTC